TGGAATCAAACTCGTGTGCAACAATCATGCAAGTCCACGGCAATACATCCTCCCTAACGTCATCGTCATCAACTCTCTCCGGCCGCGCTTCTTCTGACACTCCACCATTAGGCCAACGTACACAGTCACTACTGCAAACACAACTTGAAGAAGAAGAAGATGAAGCTGAAGAGGTACAGGTAGAAGGGCTAGCAGAAGAATTATCGCAGGTTATACTACCCACATTTCAAATGCATTTTGAGAAAATTGCTTCAGGGAATCTGCAGCTTGAGATGTCTCAGCCAGCACCGCTAACATCCAGAGGCACTTCCGTTTTTAGCTTCCCCACACTGAGTCCTGTCGAGATTCCGGAATCAAACGTGACCGATTCCGGCTCCAAATCATTTGATTCTAACAATGTCATAAAACAGGATATTTTGCAATCAAGAGAATCATATCCTAAAGAGCGTAAACCAGCAAGGCCTCACTGGCGACGGCTTGGTGCTGAGAGGAAAGCGATCACATCAAAAGCTCACCTGTTATCTGCTATCTCTTCTCCTGTGAATTCGGCATCTCTGCCCCTAGAAACCGTTCCACTTATTCCCACTACTGAGACTCCCATTGTAGGTGCCGATTCTCTTATTTGTATCCAAACTCGTCAAAATCGACAGCCAAAGTTTGCCTTGAAGCCGTTCCCTATGATCAAAAACTCTTATCGAGGTCATCAGAGTCATGGAGATTTGTCACTATCTAGTTTCAACAAAGAGACTGGCTCAAGTATCAGCCAAACGAAGGTGTGTGATCCTGGAATGCGGACTTCGCATTCCCTGAATGACGCGAATATGACGGAAAACTTAAAATGTCAGAGAAAGGGTTTGTGATTATATACTTTCATAAATTTAAATTATTTTAATAATTTAGTTTTTAATATTCATACAAAATATTTTATTCAAAGAAAATGACCCTTTATAATCACTGGAGTCAGAAAAATTCTGGGTTATTGGATTTTGCTTCACTCATCAAACAAGGAAACCACGATGAATTAAATGAAATATGTAGATGGAGTAAAGGTTTCCTATTTTTAGTAGGATGTATGAGCTCAGAGCAAAAATAGTGCGAGTGACAAAAATGCATTGAAAACGATTATATTAATTATACAGAAACTGTTACTGTGACCGGCTGTGACTGGCTCGCTCTTGTCAAATTCACCATCCTTAAACCGAAGCTTGGCCAAAAGTGCGCGTTTTGTGCCTAGACCACTTGGTGCTATATCTTCTATTATAAGTAAGGCTTTTTAACTAGGTCTGAATGAGAGCATCTTAATACATTGATCATGTCTTTAGGATTAAGCTTAATTTAAGGTATAACATTCGTAATAAGATGTATTCACCCTATTTCGTCTAAGGTGATGAAGGACTGGTAGTAGAATTTTCCTACAATGATATGAGTTGAGCTGACGTTTCTATTA